GCCTGCCAGTGCAAGTAAGAGTGTGAGTTCATCCTTGGGCAGCCCTCCATCTTCTCCTCCTCTTCCACACACCCAGTATCTTTCCTTTCTCAGAAGCATTGGTCTTATGCAAGGAACCAAACTAATCAAATGGAGGACACTGAACATTTACAGACCTGCTCAGGTCATTCAGCCAGGCTCCAGAGCAAAGCACATGCTCTGCCCGTCCACCCACTCACCCCCACCCCAAAGTATTATTTTCCTGAAATTACAATTAGAAAATTCATACTCAAAGGCTACTGAAAAAGCATCAAACTCCAGCCTTAGGCCAATTGTGGCTCATAAAATGATAACCCTGAACAACAGGTCTTGAACTAAAATTGGGGGTAGTTTCAATTTTCCTCTACAAGACATTGAACACAGGGCTGGGGAGATGGAATGGGGGAGTATGAACTGAGGAGTGGGATCTGCCACATTCTGGCACAAAGATTACAGAGTTTCTCCCAGGCACAAGCACCACCGCCTTTTACAGAATACAGTGACTGGATGGAAATCTAAGGCTTTTCCCTGAGGAATAGGATTAAGTGGTCAAATGTTGAACAAGACAATTTCCTTCCAAGGAAGGGAGAAGATTGTGCTACCACAGCAGTGCAGCAAACACACCGTCTCTGAAAGTAATACAGATATTCTATTAAAATGGCCAAAAATGCAACATATTCAAATATGCAAAAATGGATGTGTAGGGCTGATAAAACCGACTTATTTGTTTTAAATTAAATTCATGAAGGTCTCCCTTTCTGATGACTTACTGAAATATAGTTTGGCAAACATTGTATGGTTATTTAAACAGCTCAAACATGGCTGATAAGCAATACACTGTTTGAATGTAACAAACTTCGAGGTCAATTTTTCAATTTTAGCTGAGAGTTTACTGAAAAAGTCTTAACCCAGAGGCTACATCATTATTTAAGGACTGTATTTAAATACCTCTGCTAGGTCTTCTTTGAGCTTATTATATCGTTCCACATTAAAATGCTGTTTTTTGGATTTCCGATAGAAGTAGTGGAGGAACTGCCTGTCTTTAGCATCAGGGTAAATGTAGTCCTGGTGAAGAAAGCAGGGCACATATGGGGGGTTAGCAAGAAAACTGGGTAGAGGTCAGAAGATTATCTGCACAAATGAGTTTTTCGTAGAAATTCAGCCTGTTTCAGGAAGATTTATCTAGTTCAACACACACACATGTTCTGTTAAGAGGCTACATATGAAGACATGCCCTTATAGGTCATGAGGGACTTCTAGACACACGGTAGGAATAATTTCTATTGTGTCCAACGGAATTTTCAATCATAACAAAGCCATAGGGTGACCTTCATGACTGGAGCTGCCTGAGTCAATGAACACTACTTCCAAGAAGTCAGAGAAAGTTCAACTACTATTTCTCAAAGACTTTTCTGAAAGTCTCAAGCAATGGCGCCAGCAGCTGTTAAAAACGCCAAGTAGTAATCTCTTTATCTACTGATATACAAAAAGTGGGAATGCCTTAGCCCTTCTTAAAAATTAGTGAGAATGACTAAAACTCGCATTCAGAGCTTTTTCCGAGGTCTATAGATCCACTGGTATTATGGAAGTAAGTGTTGGCTACTCTTCCACACACCTCCATAACAAAAAGAGTTTTGCATCACAGAAATTCGACATTGAGATATCCACTTTGGGAGTAAAGTACAGAGTTAAAACAGGAAAAAGAAACGTTCCTCGAAGTCTTACAGGATTTCAGGGCACGTCTGTATTGTGCAGCTCAGTTAAGATCTGGATTTTTGTTATTCATCAAAATTTTTTCTTCTAAACAAAGCCTGTTTCTTGCCTCATTTCAGCTGCCCTAGATTTACCTCCATTCATTCAAAGTCAAGAAAAAGCAGTCAGATTGGGAAGAACAAAGCAATAACATTTTTTCAGGCACTAAATTAGGTATATTTCAATAATGCAACTGCCAGATTTCCAAACTGTTTGGCACCCTGCACCATATATATATGTAAACTCCAGCAAATAACAGCTACTCTTCAGTGATTTGCTTCCTGACCTGCTGTAAGGCAGCGTTCCCAAACTGGCACAGTGCTACTAATTGCTTTCCCTTTACAGCAACAAGCAAGGTGCCATTTATTATTCAAAGTGATCTATAACAATTCAAAATAAAAGGAAAGACTGCTTTCATCACTTTTCATTCCCTAGGTTATGAAATCTTACAGACAGTAGTTCTGCTCAGCCCCTGGTCTGCAGTTTATGTGTAACAGTACCTGGCTTGACTTTGCATGATGTATCCAGCCCCATTAAGGATCAAACAAGTCCCTATCTGATGGCAAGACTACTTACTGAATAATGTTTTCATCAGAGCCCAAACATTGTGATTCTCAGAGTCAGTCTTCCTCCTTTACAAGACTCCAGGCATTTACAAATTGAGGACTTACCTGTTTAGTAAGAACAAAGTAGGCATAGAAAGCCATGGCACTCCCGTAAGTGATGAAGTATGTGACTGGCTCCATGATGTCCCACGAATAGACCCACCACGTGAGCCACGCCAACGCTCCCCCTTGTGTTGACATCAGAGCTAAGCCAACCCACAGAAGCCTGGAGGTCTTTGCATTGGCACCGTCCATGATTCGGGCTTTCATCTAAGGAAGAGAAATCCAGAAACCTGTTCAAGCAAATGTGAGTGCAACTGATGAGCGGCTCCTCAACTATGTTTTCTTCTTGTTGGGCTAGATCCTTTTTCAGGATCTTTTACGGACTCCTTTTGCCGACTTCCCCTGCCGAGAAAGAAAAGGACTGAAATCCAAGGGCAACCAGATCTCCTGGCTGTAGTGCACCAAGAAATACGGCTTTTAATCTCCCCTTCCCACTACTAGGGATTTATGTCTACTGGATTTCCATTTACCATTCAAGGCAGCCCTGGTTAATGCTGAGGCTGGTCCTCACAAAGCAGGTCTGAAGGCAAGGAAAACTTTGTCCACTTTGTCAGGCTCTTGCTGGCTTCCCCCCATCATGCTGGGTTAGCTTAGCCTGCCCTAGATCAACATTCATACCTTCCCTTCTTGGATTATCGCAACCATTAGTCCACACAATTTGCCTTGCTACCTTGGCAATATAGAAAACCCTAGCCTAAGCCACAAACAACTTCTACCTCACTATAGTTTTTTCTGTAATGGGTATTCAGAACTTGTAGAGCAACAGATGACTAAGAGGACTTTCAATCCCCATACTAGCCATGCTGAGGCTTGTTCATGACAGCTTTTTCCAGGTGTTGTGGTTTCTGCCCAGGGCACATGCATAACAGCAGGGAAAATAACTGAATTGAAAATAAGTTGAATTATATTTGAATTGACTCTTGTTTGCATAACAAACAAATTAGACACACCCTAGCCATTCATGCCCATTTTCTTCTGTTGAAGGACTTACTCTTGATGAAAGGAAATGTTTTTGAGTTTTTTAAAATAAAAAGCAATCCCACTTTCCAACCTGTTCAAGAGGCAGTAGCTCTTCTTTCAGATGGTCCAGTTTCTGTAGCAATTCTCTCTCTTTCCTGATCTGGTGATCTTCTAAATGTAGAGCCACAAACAGTCTGTGAACCAAGGATTTGATATCTTCCATTTCAGTAGCACGCTCACTACTCAGCTTATCTGAAAAGAAAATGTTTGTCATATAAAACATTTCAAGAACCTACCTGTCTTCATGCTCTCCCCACCTCCAACCCCAAAAGGCAGGACCATCCAATGGTAAAAAAAAGAGAAAATCTTTTCTCCAGACAGATTCCAGTTTTGTGACACTTCCTGTGCCTTTCACTAGATGAAGTGAGATAATCAGAGTTATTAAGCATCACTCTTACCTTTTACAGGAGGTGACACGCTGTATGATGTGTTGTTGATAACAAGTTTAAAGTCATTCATCAATAAGACCTCCATCAAGGTTGCATCAGAGACCTTGCTACCATCTGTAGAAGAAAGATTTAAGTTCTACATCATTTATCATAAGGAATCTTAAACATTAGCTGATATCCCTTTGGAAAAGTGCCGGAGTTCTTTATTAGGAATGTTTGGAAGGGAACTGTACTTCTAGTAAATCTGGTAGCTGATACTTAAAAAGAAAGAACACATCAACGCAGAGTGAATGCTTTCTCTAGCAGAGTCATTCGGACTTGGCATTCCTATGAGCAGACTTACATTTTCTTGTGTTACAAATAACTAGTATTGACCCATCGGGAAGGGGAGGGCAGAAGAAAAAGAAGCCTTATGTAAACCAGCAACAAATTGGAACATAAAGATCTGCATTTTTGTTTCTCCATACACACATGAGTTTGCATCTTCACTAGGACAAAGGGTCTTGGGAAATTAAAAGACCTTCAAAGACCTCATCTTCAGTTATAGATTTATGTCTTTCTTTAAACAAGCTCTTCTAGGCAAAAGGAGCAATTCCTGTCAGTAGTGGTGTTCCGATTTTTTATTAAGGGTACTTGCAATCACTCTGTTTCACTATCAGTTGTGACTGGGAGTTCAGAAGTAGATAGCTAGACTGTCCAGTACAAGGCAGACCCAGAGCCAGAGAGGCATTAGTCTAAAAAGCTCTGGAGATCCCTTTTCTACTTTTCTTTTTTATGCAAAAATTTACATGAATGCTACCCCATCAGCAACACAGAACAGACTGAGGAAAAAAACCAGACAAACCATCATATCTATTTTCCATGACTTAAAATCAGAGACAAGGGGACAACTGTGACATTCAAGCAGGAAAGCTGGTTGTTGAAGGTTTTAACCTGCTTTTATATTTGTTCCTTCTTTTCATTCCCTCTCTACCATTTTTCTTTGCCAAAGGGTCTTTCAGCCAAAAGGCAGTATCTGTGTCTGCCTAGGGCTTAGGAAAGATTTGCCACTGGTAGATGGACCACAACTTCAGCATATGAAACAGCTCTCATCCAACAGCTGGACATGCTGCAGCCCTTCTCAGGGCATGCTCAACGCAGCAGATCTTGCAAGATTAGTACTCTGGCAACATTTCTGATTTCTTGAACAACAGAAAAAATAGCTACATCCCAATGAGAAATGGATCCCTTCCTATTTTACATTCAATACACAAAGGCAGATGTAATGCAAAACCTCTGCTAAAATATAAAAGATCTGTTTTGTCCCATCTCTGCTTTTTGTTTCCCTGATTAAAGGGGCCTGAAGTTTGTAAATAATCTCTTTTCTTTAGTATACTACTACTCCTCCTGCCTGATGGCTTTCATATCTCCTCTTCATTTCACCATCTGTGGCACCTCACTGCAGCTAAGACACAAAGGAACACATCACGTCCCACAGGGAGCTGAAGACACCAAAAAGGAGCTCCCGGAGTCATTAGCAACAACATGTAATGGTGGATCCCCAGAGCCCTCATTGGCTCAAGTCCAGCAGATCTCAGAGGTGCCCAGTAAAACCAGCCCCTGCAGGGGGTTCGGGTGGCCTGAGAACCCCTGGAGCTGCACACCACTGCTGCTGGACACACCGCTGCAGCATTGGGGGGGGGTTTCAAAAGCCACGCAACAGCTGCTCCACAGTAGTTGTTTGACATGGTTTTCATTTCCTGTACATAAAAACAGCATCTTCCTCTGCCCCTGCCGAGGGGTGGGCAGTGGCGGACGACAGAGATGAAAAATGATCAGGCTACAAAATATGAAGATTTTTGTATGTAAATATTTGTCACAGAGCTACTGCCCCAGCTCCTCCATCTGTCCCCACATGCCCACTACGAAAGGTACCATAGATAACCCCACACCTGCAACTATTTATTCCCTAGAACTCTGCTCTCAGGCCCCATCTGCTGAGGCTGAGACTACTGAACGCCCTGAGCTAACACACCAGCTGGCTCCCTGACCCACTCTGTGTGGGTAGCAAAGCAAACCTGGAAGGCTATCACTTTCAATCCACAATCTGAAATTTTAATATGCCCATCCACTCATATCTTCTTTTTTTTTTTTTCACAGTGTAGTAGAACATCAAGGCTCATTTGCATGTAAATTATTAAGGTGACATTTATAAAGTGACATTTAAGCAAAAAATGCTTTTCAAAAGAAGTGCCAGACAGGCTCTTTGTTCTGGATGTGATACAACACCGATTTATTAACCTGTCCAACCTTTCATTAACTGAAAAGCAGAAAAGTTGCGGGGGGGGAGGTGTTTTATTTTAGAAAATTCCTTACAGGCTTTCAGCAAAAGGCTACTTTCCTTCCTACACCTAAGCACAAGTGTTCAAATATGGACCAATGGCCATTTTTTGTCTACAGAAGTTTTGCAGGACCAAAATCGAATCCACAGAAAATGAAAATGAGTCATCATACAGAGCACTAATGTGTTCAGTTAAGGTTGGGTTTCATTTAATGGCTAAATGACACGGAAGAAGTGTCTGCACTAAATCAAGGCTTCATAATTTTTCTTTAATAATAAATATTTAAATTCAACTCTGGATACTTGACCAATAGTTTCTCTTTACAGTATCAGTTTCCTAAGAAATTAAACATCTAAGCTGTTCTCTAACATTACAGTTGCCCAGCACTTGAAAAATACAGAGCAGATAGCTGCTTAACAGTCATTGTTTTAATCAAACTGGACAATGTTTCTA